TCGGGTGGGATGTAAAGGCAGCTGCACCTAACACTTCTCTGGAGGTGGTGGCAGAGCTTTCGCCAAGTGTGTTTAATGTTTTTGCCTGAACTATACTGATCTGGTATGTAGATATCAGCTTTTGTACTGTTTCTATGGCCAATGCCATAGCCTTTTCTGAGTATTACTTTTGCTTAAGAGGATGAGGAAGCAGAGGAAAAAACTTCAGTCGTGGCTCTTGCTTTGTGGGTTGGTATGGCATCCTTGGCTTGACATTTGAACTCTTCCAAAGTTTAATCTTACACTTAAGACTAGTAATCAAGTTTACTAAATTCGGTTCTCATGAAAGCCATAACACTCAAATCAGGCTGTGGAATACAATGCTTAGCTATTAATAACTAAATAATTCAGGACAGGGAAGACTCCTGATCAATCACAGTAACTGCATTCCTCAAATTCACTGGGGTGTGAGATGACATATAAGAGTAAGAAATCTGGAATACCTTTGAAAGAAATAACTTGTATGTTGCTTTTGATGTTTGTGCTGGGCTTGTTTGGATTTTTTGTAGAGTCTTAAATATTTGAGATGTATCAAAAATTACTTTTTCAAGTGAATGCTGGGGCTTTGAGATGGTCTGTCTTGCATCTTCTGCACCACGGCTCAAGTGAGTGGATTAGTTTATGGATCATAGGTAGTGACCGATCCGTCCATCTGTCCGGCTGCTCCTCAGCCGGGTGGCTTTTCTTCTGTGGCATTTTGGGGTGGGGGGAAAAAAGAGGATGTTTGCTCCCCTTTTGAGTAATGAGATCAGAAAATAAGCAGAACTGCCTGTGCTTTGGACAAAAATGGATTTCTATCAGGCTGTCCCCGAGTCTTGTTCTTACTGACAAAACAGCGTCTTGCTTGTTTTTTACCCTCTCCTCTTGGCAGTCTCATTTTCAGTACATGTGTTTGCAGCACTTACTGGTTCCTTCTTCATATATGTGCTGTTCTTGTAAGCTGCCATATGTACTGCCTGAATCTGAATTTCTGGGAATGTTATGAAGAGGAAAGGCTGTGGCTTGGTAAGCCTGTAGCATGCCATCTTGGGTACCTTGAAAGTGGATGAATATCCTGAGACTGACTGAGTGTCAACAGGCTGTGTGTTTAAAATCCCTTTCTACTATCAGGCTCTAACTTCTAATTTCTGCGGAGACGGAGGGGTCTTAAGACTTACTTTTCTTTATCGCCTTGCAGAGTACTTTTTCAGATCATCCTCAAATAGATTTAGGGCTTTGCAATTACTCTATTATTTAGGAAAACCACCTGTGACATGAAACTTAAATGGTTGTGGACAGTTTCGCTACTTCCTACAGAGCTCTGGAGAAACGTCTGTCATGCAAACTCGAGTATTCTGCTCGACAAATGGGAAGAGTAGCAGAAATACTAGAATTGTCTGAAGGGCCAGGTGACAGCGCCTTATTGTTTCATATCCTGCTAATACCTAGAATTGGTGATTTTATCGGTTGCTGTTCTTTTGCAGGACAGCAAGGAGAGATTCTTCCCAGAAGCTAGGCCCTTTCTCTTGAAAGCTGAATTCTGCAGATGCTGGTGTTTGAGTCCTGCTGTGCCCAGCAAAGAAGCTTCATATTTAAAAGCGTTTTGGTATTACACCATTTTTAAAGAGTGTTAAAGGTATAGAAGGACAGAAGTGCAAGGTATAGGAAACATGTATTCCTCACACAACTTTGTGGGTTATTTTGTTTGTTTTTCTTGGCTTAACCAGTGCAATCTGTAGCTCAGGTTTGTACTGTGTCCTTTATAGTGTTTGTTGGAGAGCTTTATTTTGGGGAAGTCAGGTGCAGAAACAGTTCTGTGGTAGTGATACTTTTTTCCAGTGTATTTCAGAGCTTAATGAAATGGATGTATTGGGTTTAGGAAAAAAGAAAAAGGAAAAAAATGAAGACTGACATACAGCAGGACAAAAGCAGTGGCTAGCAGTACATTACTCAAGGTCATTTAGTCAGATAAGGGCTAGGTCTGCTTACTTTTGCTGTTTTCTAACTTTTGTGCTTATCTC